GCTCCAACCTTTAGGCTTCTTTCTTCTTGGTCTCCCCGCCCTCCTCCCCTGGCTCTGCAGGGGGGCATCAAGGTGTTCCAGGGTGAGCGAGAAATGGCTGGGGACAACAACATGCTGGGCCAGGTGGGCGGGGGCAGAACGCCGGGCTGCACGCAGCAAGGCGCGGAACAGGCCGCCGAGCGGGCATGCGGTCAGCTCGGGCTGGGACACGGCCGCCTGTGCGCGCCCTGCCCCTGTCTTGCCTTCTGGAGGCCTGGCGCCCCCTCGATTCCTCCCCATGCGTCCTCGCACACACGTCCTTCCCATCCCACCACCCCACACTTTCCTCCTCACACGTTTCCTTCCTCCCCTCCCCGCTGCAGTTCGACCTGGTGGGCATCCCGCCCGCCCCCCGCGGCGTGCCCCAGATCGAGGTCACCTTTGACATCGACGCAAACGGCATCGTCCACGTCAGCGCCAAGGACAAGGTGGGTCGCCCTGCTGGCTGCCGGCCTGCTGGCTGCCGGCCCGTTCCCTGGCTTGGGCGCGCTGGTCTGGACGCGGCTCCTGCCTGCTGGTTGGCTGGGCTGTTGCCCGGCACCTCTTGCTGGTGCTTGCTCGGCTTGGCAAGCAGCACGGTCATCGTGGTTCCTACTGCCAACATGCATGCGACTTTCCACCCCACCACCACACGCACTTGCTCATTGCATCACCGCCCCATCTCCAACCCCGCCCCCCGCAGTCCACCGGCAAGCAGCAGTCCATCACCATCCAGTCCAGCGGCGGCCTCAGCGAGCAGCAGATTCAGTCCATGGTGGGCGACGCGGAGCGGTATGCGGCCAAGGACGCGGAGCGCAAGGCGGCGATAGAGGCGCGGAACGAGGCCGACTCCATGATCTACTCTGGTGGGGGTGGGGTGGGGTGGGGGGCGAAGGTGTTGGGAAGGTCAAGGCGGGGGTAGACCCTCTGCAGGCACAGCCAGCCTCCCAATGCTCCGCCTCGCTCTAGCTGTGGGGTGCGCAGTGGGCAGCTGGAGCTGGGTGCGTGCGGCGGGTGGGCGTCACCTGCTTTCGGGGCGTGCAGCGGGCCTCCCTTAACCTGCCTTGCCCTGTTTGCCCTGGTGCCCTCGCTGCAGCCGAGAGGAGCGTGGCCGAGTACAAGGAGCGGCTGCCTCAGAATGTGGTGGACTCGATCAACGCCGCGGTGGCCGAGCTGCGGGGCGTGATGGAGAGCGAGAATGCCGAGGTGGTCTCGCTGGGGCTGCCTGCCTGCTTGATGTCGGTCTGCTGCTGGCAAGGAAGCTTTTGGGGGCTGGGGAGGCTGGGATTGTCAGCAGGAGCTTTCTACTTGCAGCAAGTGTGCGAGGCCCCTCGGTTGCGGTGTGTAGCACTTCCCTGATGGGCTCCTCCCCCTCTCTTTCTCAATCGTTTTTACTGGACCTCTCCCTGCACAATGCAGGAGATCAAGGCCAAGAGCAATGAGCTGCAGCAGGCCGTAATGAAGGTTGGTGTGTCGCTGGCGGGCAGCGGTGGCGGCGAGGGCGGCGAAGGCAGTGGCGGCGGCGAGAACGTCCAGGACGCAGAAGTGAAGGACAAGGAGAAGTAGACAGCTGGGTGGCTGGTTTTCCAGACGGGAGGGTAGGCAGGCGAGTGGTGGCGTCCAGCGCCAGAGGCACAGGCGTACCGTCCCCAGCGTCGCGACGCCACGAGGCGCGCTCATAGCGGCCGCCCACCGCACAGTTGTTGCCTGCGCCCATCCCACATCACATCCAACCCACATATCTTTTCATGTAATGATGCACATTGAGCATGCAAATGACGATCAACGGAAGGGACTGTTGTAGGTGTGACCTTGTGACGCAGCAGCAGCTGCAACTTTGATGCCATTGGTGTGACACCCGTCCCTCATTACACAGGCGCTCAGCGGCAGCGCTGTAGGAGCAAACTCTATCGAGATGGCCTGAACAGGGCATACAGGCCAACCCCCACGGCGCTAGAAATTGCCACCAGTTTGATGGTGCCAACATCACTGCTCAGCTGGTCGGCCAGCTTGTTCAGCTTGTCGTCCAGCTTGTCGTCCAGCTTGTTCAGCTTGTCGTCCAGCTTGTTGATGTCTTGCTTGAGGTCCTTGAAAAGGCCCTCCATCTTGTCGTCCAGCTTGTTGAACAGGGCCTCCATCTTGTTGCTGAGCCTATCCTCCGTCTTCTCCAGCCTGTCATCCATCTTTTCCAGCTTGGTGAAAACCCAGCCGCAAAAGAAAGCAATGCCTGCAAAGATGCAGCCTCCCAGCCAGCTGAGTGCCGTGGGCAGCTGGCGGGCTGCTGCGCTGATGACGGCGTCGGTTAGCGCCTTCTCATCTATCTTAATCGGGGGGATGGGGGCCTGCAGTGCAATGACGCAATTCGCTTCAGGGTGCCGGTGAGTTGGGTGCCACAGCAAGCATCCGTGAGCAGGGCAGCAACCCAACGAACCGTGCCATCGGCTGAGCATGTGCACACACACATGCACACGCACACAGCTGCAGGTGACAGGGCCACCACCTCATGCACCACGGCAACGCGGGAGACATGTGCAGCTGAAGTCGCAGGCGCAGCAGCCACCACGTGTTGGGAACCGGACAGGCACATGCCAGGGGTCAGGTGGGTGCAGCGAAGCGAGCATACCTGCTGGCTGGGCCCATTGCCTGGGTCGCCGCCTCCCTCGTCCTTGCCGCCGCCACTGCCACCACTGCTGCCGCCACTGCTGCCGCCACTGCTGCCGCCACTGCTGCCGCTACCAATGCCGCGCGCAGGCCCGTAGGCGGGATGATCTGGGCTGGGGGGGCGCTCTGCAGGCCCAGGCGCCACGCGGACCGAGGCGGGGGCTCCTGCAGCACATGGTAAATGAGCTGTGGGCGCTGTATGGCCGGACAGCAGAGCAGGACTGAGCGCAAATTCACGCAAACAGGTCGCACAGGCAGCCTTGCCAGCCTTGCCAGCCTTGCCAGCCTTGGACCAAGCACTTAAGACCACGCCTTGCCTGTGCCTTGGAGACCGTAGCGACGGCCGCTCCCGCCAGCACCAGCCCAGCCGCCCGCAGCAGCAGAGGTGACCACGCCTGCAGCATGGCGGGACAGGCAGCATGGCTGTCAGTGCTTCTCCAGCAGTGTGCCCACGGCCACAGTCCGCGAGTCTCAGGTTGGAGTATTTGCTTGCCTGCTCGCGGCGTGGCGCGGGCCGCGCTCCCGCTGCTGACCAAGTGGATCATGCCGAGGGGACGCAACGAGATGGCGGCCAGCTCGCATGAAGCCAAAAACAGTTTCGCGGTCTACGAATGATCAGGAAACAAGGAGTACCAGTGACGAGTCTAATGCGGATGTTTTGGCTTCTAAATGAACACAAGAGAGGCGTAGAAGTACTTCCTTCTCGACGCGGTACGCCAGACTCCAGTTTGCGAGCATTGCCCTGCTTTCCCTGCGCAGCTTGTTCTTCATCGACATGCATCAGCTGGCCCAAGACCGGCGGGCGCTGCTGCGCTACCTGCTGCAGGTGGGTGGTGGTTCGCGGCCATGTTGAGCCAGGCGGAGGGATCTGGTGGTAGAATGGTCCAGTGTGTGTCCAGTGCAGTGTACTGTGCTGCCCTGGGCGAGGAGAGGAGGGTAACGACCCCCACCCACCCGCCGCCGATCACCAGCCCGGCCTCTCGTTGCCGCTGCCGCCCGCAGGACCTGCAAGTCCGCGGCAGGGACGTGCTGCTTCCCGTGGGCTGCTCCGACTTTGACGAGTGGCTGCTGGATGCGCTGTCTGTGGAGAGGCTGCTGAAGCAGCTCAAGTCGGGGGCGCCGACGCTGGACCTCATCAACGCCTGCATCTCCACGTCCACCTCGGCTGCCGCCCGCAAGGACTACCTATCCACCCCGCCCCGCGGCACCACCACCGGGGGAGAGGATGGCGGCATAGTGGACTTCAGGACGCTCATATCAGGCGACGCCACGCCATCTGCGGTGGCGGCAGCCGCCGACGCGGCGGCGGCCGCCGAGCAGGACTCCCACCTGCCGCAGCTACGCCTCAAGTCGCTGCAAGTCGGTGGGTACAGTGCTAGGCTGCTGTGGTGGAGCGGGCAGGCCTCGCCGTGCCTGCGCTATCAGTGCACCGCCGCTGCCGCTGGTCACGTCAGGCAAGCCTGGTTCCGGTGGCGGGTGCCCTGCCCACTCCCTTTGCTTCTTCTCTAAGCCATCCAGGCCTGCAGGAGTACCAGCTCAAGGAGCTGGCCTACGCCATTTTCCTGTCCTGCGCCTCCGCCCAGGCCTCGCCCGGCCTGCTGGCTGACCTGCGTGCCAGCCTGGAGCTGAACGAGACGCGGGCGGCGGAGCTTCAGCGCATCACTACGCTGGTGGGCCAGCACGGCATCACCTCTCTGGCCTCCCTGGAGATGCACATCAGGCTGCTGCAGGTGTGTGGAGGTGGCGGTGGTGGGGGGTTGAGGAGTTGGGGGGCGTGGGTGGGCGGCAGTGGTGGACGCGTGCGGCTGACAATGCGCGCGGCTGGAGAGGCCGGCCAGGGGCCGGGTGGCATGGCGAGCGCCGTGGGGCAGGCGTACCGCCTTTCTGGCTTGCTCATGGCAGACGAGCTGCATGCGTGGCTGGCCATCCCGACCCTGCGTGCCACCTGCTCATCGGCCCCGCTGCCCCACGTCCGCGCAGATCGTGCGCCCCTCTGCCTTTGACAGCTTCCGCAACTTTGTGCGGTGGCGGGACACGGTCACCTCTGTCATCTGGCTGGTGCTCAGCCAGGCGGTGCGGGACACGTGGGTGGCGGCGCCAGCAGAAGGCAGCGGCGGCAGCAGCGGCGGCGAGGCCTCGGCGCGCATGCTGCTGGCGCGCCTCAAGGGCGGCCTGCGGCGCCTGGATGTGCGGGTGGCCGACGACTATGACGATGCAGAGTATGGGGAGGCGGCAGAGGCGGTGTTTGGGGCCGCAGACCAGCTGGCGCAGCGCTGCCAGACAGGTGGGGCGGGAGCTGTGGTGGGGTGGGGTGCCGGCGGGAGCAAAGCCCCCTTTCCGGAGGCTGAGGAGGAGGCAGCGGTGTGGCAGCGGGCGGCGCTCCGCGGGTAGCCAGGCTGCGAGGCACGCTGCGCACCTGCTGAGCCGCCGATGCGCCTCCCTTGCCTGACTGCCTGCAGGGTGGAGCTTCCCATGGGGCCTGCGCGCCCGGCTGGCCGAGCTGCTGCTGCGTGGCATCTTTGACACGCTAGATGAGGGGCAGTACAACGACCACCGCCAGGAGCTGCTGGGGATACTGCAGGTACCGTACCGCTTGTACTGCCACCTGCGCTGCTCCGCCAGCTGGCCGTGTGTGGTGCAGCCTGCAGCCGCGGCGCTGGGGCTGGGCTGGCGCCGTGCTGCAACACAGGCCAGGCGTAAAGGTCGGGAGGCTGCGCTGTTGCCACTGGCCCGCCTGCGTGCAGGGCACGGTGTGGCGCCAGCTGCAGATCACGCCCGACGTCCACAACGCCGTCTTTGCCTGGGTCCACTTCCGCCAGGTGGGCTGCGGCAGATGGGCCCCATGCCGCTGCCTGCAGAGCTGCCAGTGGTGGTTGGCGCGCTTGCCGCACGTGGATGGCTTGGGCTATAGGCCCGACTGGCACGCCTTCCCATGCCCCGCTGCCTGCCCGCGCATGCATGCGGCAGTTTGCTGTGAGCCAGGAGCTGCTGCTGCTGGAGGTGGCGCGGCAGGCCATCCAGTCGGTCAGGACCGCGGGCGCCTCGCCGCGCCTGGAAGGCAGCGGCTCCCCGCTGCTGGTCACCAAGGGTGGGTGTGGGTGCCTGGTGGTGGCGCGTCTGGCACCTTCATCTGGCACCTGGCACAGACCGGCAGACGTGCCTGCCGCATTTGCTGCTCAGCTGCTGTTCCCGATACTCGGTCCTTGCCTCCCGCCTGCAGAGGAGTACGACTCCCAGTTCCCTGCGGAGGTCATGGCCTGCGTCAGCCAGTCGGTGTGCGAGGTGCTGGGCAACTACCACGCCTCGGTGGACGACCCGCGCGTCATGAAGGTGCGCCGGGCATGCGTTGTGCGGCCTGGTGGGACAGCGTTCCCGCAGTGTCGGATGCTGGGGCATGTTCGCTGGCTACCCGCACCCGCGTTTACACAATCAAGATGCCGTTGCCCGCCCCTGCGCCGTTGCCCCCCCTGCAGGGCCTGATTGGCGTGCTGGATGCAGCGGAGGCTGCTGGGGGGCGGCGGGACCAGCTGCCGCAGCTGCTGGATGGCTGCATCGCGGCCTCGGTGGAGGCGGCGTTTGACGCCAGCCTGGAGCAGCTGTCAGCCAACGTCTCTGCTGGTGAGCTGGACGAGACAACACCTGTCTGTCAGCTTTTGCCGGTCCAGCAGGAGGCGGCCTGGGCGCAATCCCGCTGTCTCTGCCATGCCCCCATGCGCAGCCACCTACCCCTCTGGCTGGCCGACCTCCTCCTGCCAGCCCCACAACCTCTGCCACCTCCTTTTTCCTTCCTCCCAACCTCCCTACTGCCTCGCCTCCCACCATGCTCCCACAGAGGAGGACCTCATCATGCTGCTGGCCGCCAGCTGCGCCGAGCTGTTCAAGCGGGAGGCGGCCACCTACTCGCCGCTGCTGGCGGCGCACCAGCCGCAGGCGCGCGTGGTGGCGGCCGCCACGCTGCACGAGGTCTACGGCGCCAAGATGCTTCCCTGGCTGATCGGGGGTGAGCGGCCTGCTGGCGTGCCTCCTGTGCCATGCTGTAACTGTTTCTGGAGCTGCGATCAGCCCTAGGTTCTCTACCACCCCTTCTCTCTTTCATCGCGGGCCCTGCCTGTGCCATTCCATGCCACATCTTGTGTCTACTTCCTTCCGATCACATGCCATGCCTGCACTTCACATGCAATGCTGTGCCACCCCGCCCCCGTGCCGCGCAGTCAACGGGCTGACCAAGAGCGCGCTGGAGGCCATCCGTGCGTCCATGGCCCTGGAGGAGCTGCTGCTGGAGGAGTGCAGGGACAGCGAGGCGGCGCCCGACCCCTGGGGCACCATGGAGCGCCTGTCGCCGCTGCTCTACACCTGGGCACAGGTGGGCGTGGTTGGTGGTGGCTTGTGTGCGGACGAGGCGCGGGCGTGTCCAGATAGTGGCCGGGGGATCAGGGGCGACCTGTTGGGAGGGTGGGGAGGCGAGCAGGCACCCCAGCGCCGCCTCCTGTGTGCCTCGCCTGCTCATGGGGCACCGGCGCATGTGACCTGGCTGGTGCTTTCCTGCCGCGTGCAGGGCCAGATCAGCATGCTGGGTGGGTGGATGGATCGGATTCTGTCGGCCGAGGACTGGACCCGCGTGTCCAAGCAGCGCGCCCACGGCTCACGGTGACACGAGCTGCTGCCGACCGGGCCTGGCCAAGTGCCAGTATTGGCAACTGGGCCCAAGCCTCCCAGCACCTGCTTGCGTCTTGCATGCTGCATGCTGCATGCATGCAAGCTGCTGCCGCCACCCTGCCACCTTCCCTCTCCCGCGCGCAGCTCTGTGGTGGAGACGATCAAGATTGTGACGGAAACGCTGGAGGCGCTGTTTGACATGAAGCTGGCCATACCGGCGGGCGTGGTGCGGTGCCTGACCGAGGGCGTGGACCTGGCCATGCAGAAGTGAGAGGGCGGGGAGGCAGGGCATGAGCGGTGGCAGAGCAGGGCGGGATGGGGCACTCGGCAGCATTGGGACAGACAGGCCGGTGGCAGAGAGGGGTTGCAGGAGAGTCAACGTATCACTCCTCCTCGCCGCCCATCAGAGAGAGCTGCCCACCCCTCGCCATTTCCCCATCCCGCATGCCCAAACCTGCAGGTACTGCGAGTTTGTGCGGCAGCAAGTGGGCTCACCCGATGCCATCATCCCGCCACGACCACCGCTGACGCGGTACAAGCGAGAAATAGCGGTACAGGTACGTCCACACACTGGCTGCCCGCCGCACGGCGGCTGACGGGCTGTGTACCTCGCTTCAGCGTCCTCCGCCCGACAGCGGCCCTGCGTGCGTCCATCCCCAGTGCAGGCGGAGCAGCAGGCCGCGGCTGCCGCCAGCGGCGTGACGCCTGCCGGCCAGCTGTCCAAGGTGTGCATGCATGCTGGGAGCATGTCCTGCTTAACGTCGCACTTCCTTAGAGGATTTCCTGCTTGATGTTGCACTTCCATTGGGGCCTGAAGCTGAGGAGGCTGTGCATGGTGGTGAGCTGCACATGCCTGGCCTGGCCTGGCCTGCCGGTCCCACATGTGCATTGCGCCGTTCTGTATGCTTCAGATGAAGAGCAAGGTGCATGAGGCGCTCAACATCAACTGGCTGCCGCCGCTGGGCACCACGGGTGGGCTGCTGGGCTAGGGTCCGCTGGGCTTTGGCCGCATGCTGAGCGGCCGCAGTGCCGGCAAACCCCTTGCCGGCCACCTGGCCTCCGATGTGCCCATGCTGCACCCCACACCTCGCAGTTGTGCCATGCATGTCACTGATTCTGGGTTGCTGTATGCGTTGGCTGCAGAGGAGGAGCGGCGGGTGATGGCCTTCCACTATGACGGCCTGGTGGTGCGCCTCAACTCTGTGCAGCACCTGATGGACAGCCTGGGGGGCCTGGAGCGCATGGTTGTGGACAGGTGGGCGGGGCGAGGCGGGTTGGGGAGGCTGCTGGGGTCGGGATTGGGTGCAGCCCTGCCCGGCCGCAGCTGGAGGCGTGCGTCGTTCCAAACCGGCGTGGCTGGCTGCGGCCCTCCACCCGCCGCCCCCGCCTCGCGCAGGTGGGACGACGGCCGCCCGCGGTCGGCCAAGGCGCGGGACGGCAAGTCGGCGTACGACTGGATTGCGGGGATGTTTGACGGCGCGCGCGCGGCGGCGGCGCGCACACGCGACCACCTGGCCCGCTTCATCGCAGTGAGGGTGAGAGGGGCCGGCTGCACATGGCTGGCTGCCAGCTGCCTGGCTGGCTGTACCTGGCTGGCCTGCCGGCTACGCTTTTTTCCGAAACAGCGCGGGGGCGGGCTGCCGCTCCCCAATCCGCCTGTCGAGTGTGCATCTCCCCGAGGTCCCATCTGAGATCCTCAGTCGATACCTAAGTCCTATTGTGTTGCCCCGCCACCGCCACCACTACCGCCCGCAGCTGGTGTTTGGGGAGCTGCGAGACACCATCTACGAACGGTTGTACCGCTTCCACGTCCAGGTGTCCCGCCTGGAGATGGTGCTGCAGGTGCGGTACTGGTGGGGCACCGGCGCTGCGGCTGTGACCGTGCCGCATGCCTGCAGCATGGTGCAGGTTGCAGGTGGTTGCGCTGGGCCAGGCAGTGTCACCAAGCGCTGCTTTGCGCTTGCTGCCAGCCTCTGCCTCGAGCTGGCGACATGTGCACCGTTCTCTCACGCCCCCTGTGCCACGTGCCACGTGCTGCGCAGGAGGTGGACCGCCTGCTGGGCGACATTTGCAGCCACGTGCACGACGCGCTGCCACCCAAGCTGGCCCGCGCCGTGTGCTCCGCGCTGGTGAGCGCGGTGCAGAGCGTGCTGCTGGACGGCGGGCCCTTCAGGTGGGGGTGTGGGCGTGGTTTGGGGGCTGCGGGCAAGGGCTGGAGGCCTGGTGTGTGGGAGTAGAAGCCAGGCATGGCGAGGCGCGGTCCTGGGCGACCACCGTGCTGGCTGCGCAGCCCGGCTAGCTTCAGCCTGGATAGCGCTGCCCGCCGACGTGACTCTTGGCCAGCACATGTGCCCATAGCTGCCTGCCTGCCTGCCCTCCTGGCGCAGGCTGTTCACGCCTCAGGACGTCGACATGTTGGAAGCTGACATGGCGCAGGTGAGTGCGCAGAGGCGGCGGCAGGGCAATATCTCAGCTTGTCCCTGGATGCTCGGATGCATGGGTGCCATGCATGCCCTGCTGCTTCCCCACCCCTTGCCTGAGGTGTCGCGGTGGCTGGCAGCACCTCATCCACGCCCACCCAGCACCCCATGCACGCCGTGTAACCTCCTGCTTGCCTCCCCATCCACCGCCCCCACCTGTGCCCAGATGCGCGCCATGTTCTACGCCGACGGCGACGGCATCGGGCTGGAGGAGGTGGATGCGGTGTGCCGCCCGCTGAGCGATGTGGTGGACCTGATGCAGCTGGACACGGGGCTCATCATCCAAAACCTCAAGCAGGTGGGCGGCGCCGGCGTGGGCGAGGGGCCAGGAGGGAGGCCGGGAGGTTGTGTGGCGTGGGCAGGGCCTGCGCGCCGCAGGCTGGTGTTCGAGGTGGCTGGCCGTCGGGCTGCCCCCACCTGCCCTGCCCCTGCCTCCCTCAGCCCGCGACTCGATGCCCGCGACTCGATGCCCCTCTGCCCCCATCACCTCCTGGAACCGCCGCAGGCCAACGCCACACTGGGCCGCTTCCACAAGTCGCCGCGGGGCACCCCCGCGGCGCTGGACCCCGACGTGCTGCTGCGCATCCTGTGCCACCGCGCCGACCATGCGGCCAGCAAGTACCTGAAGAAGGACTACAAGATACCCAAGAAGATGCCGGGCGCGCTTTCCTCCTCGGTCAGCGACGTGGCCTCCAAGGCCGGCGGCGTGTTCCGCCGCGGCAAGTAGGGCGCGCGGGCGAGCGGCGTCTCGCGGCCGTCGTGTGTGCCCCTTGCGGTTGGAAAGAACTGGTGGGCGTTTCTGCTGCTATTCTTCCAGATGACGGGCCCAGTCGGCTCCCAGTTTATATTTACTGACGGGACCAGTTGACTGGCGACTCGGTGCCGTTGACCCCGCGGCGCCGATGAGTTGATGTTGTTGTTGCTGTCTATGCAAGCACAAGGTGCCTCAGATTGGCCTGGGGAGCGTGCATGGCTTGCCTCCATCGTGGAGAGATTGGTGCAGCCCAAGAGGCCCTGGGGTAGCATATGAAGTTTGCTGCGCAGCACAGCAGGCTTCCCGGCTTTCCTAAATCCACTGCCCTCTTTTTATTTCATGCTACTGTTTCAAGTAGGCGTGTGAGCTCATGGCAAGCAGGTTACATGACTACAGGGCAGGGCAGGAGTGTGTTTATGTAAATATAGGGAAGAGGGATGGTGTCTTGAGGCTGCTGGCAGCTCAGCTGCTGCCAGCCAGCAGAACAGGGCAAGGCAAAGGCAGGATCAACCGCCGGAATCCATGCAGGAGGTATTGCGCTAGGAACACCGGAAACGCGTCGAGCAAGGGAGGGCGCAGGTCTGTGGTGTGCCTGGCCAGGCGGCGCACCCTTTCATTGGCTCTGGCTGCCGCCCGCGCCCCACCCCTCCTCACACACTCCTTGGTCTTGGGGCAGGTCTTCTCGCTGGTGACGTGCTCCACCGGTGCGCAAATTTCATTGTTTGCGCAGTCGTCATCTGAAGCGCACGTATCAACGAACTGGCCGCAGTTGCCTGCACCGGCAGGAGGGCCAACCAAGTCGGCAGATCGAATGGCGGATGGGGTCTCTAGCAGTGCAGCGCTGCTGCCGCCGTCGAGCGCCAAGCGCAGCCGTCAGCAAGCAGGCTGGCGGGCAAGCAGGGGCAAGCCAGGCAGCTGTGGCCCAAGCCAGGCAACGGCAGCGGGGCACCCACCCGACTCGGGAGGCTCCTTCACCGCATCCATCAGCCTGCGGCCGCCCTGGCCACGGGGCACGTTGAAGGGAGGGCAGACGCACTCGAAGAACTCGCACGGGTTGTTGCAGTCCGTGCCCGTTGCCTGCAGGGGCCGGGAGGAAAGTAGTAGGCGCAGGCGCACGCCATGGCGTGCTTGCAGGCCAGACCACGGTGTGCTTGTGCTTGCAGGCCAGACGCAGGTGCTTGCCCTTGGCACCGCAGTAGGCAGCGAGCTGGGCAGAGGGCTGTGTGCTGCCTGTCAACAGGGGGCTAGGCGGCGGCAGCCTCCCTCGCTCACCCCGCCACTAGCCCCCGGGCAGCGCAGCTCTGTGAGCTCGCAGGAGCACGGGTGGTCGCAGGTGGTGGCATCGCACGAGTCCTGGCAGCCTGCAGGCAGGAGTGGGGCAGGCGGGGAGAGGGCAGGCGGGGCGGCGGTCGGCAGCGGCGAGGCGGCACCACCGGCTGGAGGAGGCAGGCTGGGCGGGGCGGCGGCAGCTGCGCAACTCACGCCTGGCCATGGCGGGGACCGCCAGGAGCCTGCAGAGGAGGCCAGGGGGTGGATGCTGGTGAGCATTGCAAGCAAGGTTCCAGGGCGAATGGAGGCAGCGGCAGGAAGAAAGCGGCCCTCGGATGGCACAAGCAAAGGGCGGGCCCAGCCTGGCTCACCCGGCCACCAGGCAGAGCAGGATGGCGAAGCGCATGATGCTTGGGCTGCAGGAAAGGAGGGAGGCGAGGGCTGCAGGAAAGGGAGGGGCAGAAGGAGTTCAGTAGGCGGTGTGCATGAGCGTGGAAGGTGGCGGGACGGAGCAGCCCAGTCACTCGAAGGAAATCTGGCTGAGCCAAAACCCTAGCACAGGCCTGGCAGGATGGCCCAGCAGGGCTGAAAGCCCGTGCTGGACCTTTGGCAGGACAGGCAGGCGCCACGGAACGAGGGCCGTCCGAGGAGGCAGTGCAGGGCAGCAGCAGGCAGCAGCAACAACCCACCCCAGCCCAGCAGGGCTCCACCTTACCTGAGGATGCGTGGGAGGGACGCGAGGACCGAGAGAATGGAGAAGAGCTGGGGCCTCGTGTGCGCATCATGTGCAGGCAGTACACAGCGTGCGTAGCACACACTTTCTTTAGGCGCCAACAAGCGGCTCCTGCCGCTCTCCTGGGCAAGCAGGCTGTCGAACATGTCTCCCTCCTGGCAGCAAATCCCGGATTGTCCATGCCGTCAAATCAGCCACGCCACAGGGTTGCCAGCAGCGCCGAGGTGCCCGCTCGGAGGCCGACATGGGATGCCACACGCTGCCAGGGCGAGTGCACAGGCTGTGCCCTGCGCCTACCCATCACCATATCAAACAATCCCCTGGCCCAGGCACGTCAACATTACGGCCTGCACACCGCGCCAGACTCCGGCTGCTGGAGGTGCACAGGTAGGTACTGCTTTGTCTTGGGCAGCACAACGGGCCCCGGGGCCCGACATGGCGGCTTCTGTTTGCCAGCTCCTGCTAGCCGCGCCCCTGCACTCCCTCTGCCCCCACAGTGGCGCCATCTATGTATGAGGCTGCTGAAGAACGCTGGCTGAGCACGTCTGGGCGGCGGCGGTCGAAAGCAGCGGCAGACCGGCGGTGGCACTGGCGGAACCCAGCTGACAGCCGCGGAAAGCCGTGGAAGACATCCAGGGTCGTGATGCGACGCACCGCAACTGCTGAGGAGGGTGCCAAAGAGGCGCGGCAAAACTTGCGCAAGCTTAGCAAGGGCCAGGAATTCAAGGCGCTTGGGGGCATGCTGGCCTCTACTGGATGGGCAGGCGCGGTCTTCCAGCACTTCGTGACAGATGGCTCCGCAGTACCCGCGCCCCTCCAGCTGGCAGAGTGTTAGGCGCCTGCGGCGCCTTCTCTGCAGCGTTACAGG